AGGTTGCTACTGCAGAGATAAAACCAACACATTTTTTCAAACTGCAATATAATCAGAAAAATTACACTTTCCTTCCAAACACCCTCATCACTGTGAAATGCAACTATGCAAATGATCTGAGTCCTCACTAGCAGAGCATTGAGAGCAGAATGTAAATTACAAATGAAACCACAGGATGGAATTGATCCTACTCTACAGATGGAGAACCGAGTCAGAGTGTGAACCAGGATAAAGTTTTCCAATACTTCTAAGAAATATAATTGACCAATTCCTTTTCAAAAACTGTAAAAGACTTTTCTTTTTTTCTGAAAAGATCACCTAATATTGATGTTTTCCTAAATCCTGCTTAAAAGTAACTTAGACATCTAATTTAGCTTTAGATAGGAACTCACTACAGAGAATCTGCCTATGGGGTGAAGAATATCCAATCTCTCACATTATTTGCAACATCAGCACAAAGTTTGAGCAGGTGGTATCTTTAAACTTCTCTGTACTGGATAAAAATAAATGAAGAGCTTATTTCTGGTTTATTTGGCAAGTGAGAACTATTTAAATTATTTATTATTATTACATAATAAAAGAGATAGTTGGAAAAGAAAAAAAATGGGAGGGTTTCCATACTGACTTGAAACTATTAGGCAACAAATTGTATAAGCACAGCAGGTTACAGGAAAAGATCTTCACTAGTTTTTCCACCACTTTGCCATCCTTCCTGCAAGCTGAGAGCACTGTTCTGAACTGTGCTTATGGGTCCTATTCACTTGCTGAATATAACAGCTTCTGGAAAATCAAGTTTGTCTTCTAGCATTTTTCATATTCTATTGCAAGTTGCATGTAGAGCATGGCATCCTAAAAAAAACAAACAACCTTATGCACTTTTAGATAACTTTCTAAATACATGCTGGATAATTTTTTTTATATGTATTGCACAAGAAGGTAGACTTTATTTTTTAGTGCAAATAGCCAAGTAAATGTTTCAATGTTGTTTTTACTAGCTCCAGTCATAAGATAAAATTAATTTCACTGATCTCACAAAAAATCAGTTCTATCAAGACTTAACCTCTTACTATTATTTAAGCCATAAACACATGAACAAAACTTAGCCCTTGTCACAAAAAATATTTTGAAAAAGTTGTTTGTTTGGCTTTTTTTTTCCCTAGAATGAAGTTAAGGAACTTGCTGTAATACATGAACTTCACATCGCATTCATTCAATCCTGATTCAAACATCCTAACCAGGATGAAAGACGTGTCAGAAGTATGTGAAAAGCCATATAGCAGGAAATACTGCACAGTGGTACAGCATGCCTGCTTCTTAGTAGTGCTGCATAAGGTAGCACAATACTACTCTTTACTCTTTGGAGGAATAAAGACCAACTGGATGAAAACAGAGAAAGCATTCCTCCATTGTCTGATTCCATATGGTCAAGGAAGTTATAGGAATCCCAGCCTACTGGCAAAATGTTAGCTTGAACTGAGATTTAGGCTAGTAGCTTGTGTATCCTGATGGTGGGCACTAGGCAGCAACAGTTACTAGTATGTAGAGGAATATGGAATCCTCAGTCCTGCCATGGCTACAGAAACTATGAGAAGAATTACTACTTATTGAAAAACAGCACTGTTCTCAAACTGTCTAGAGAAAAATTCATCCTAAATAAACCGTTGCAAACCAAAGAGATAACTGGATTCAGCAATACAGAAGAGATATAAATGAAGGAAGAATACATTCCATATTTCAATGAATATCACTGTTTAAGCAAAACCACGATTATTTTTTCCTGCTTCTGACTTTTGATGTTTTGAAGTCTCTGTTATAGGGTGCAGAGAAGAAATGAGTTCAGAATTATGTGGAAAAAAAACCTAAGCAAACCAAAAATTAAATGCACCTAAATCTCATTCAGCAATTTTGCCACCTTTGAAGTCAATATATGTATTAGTCAAGTATATCATACACAAGTAATCTTGAGAAATACCTAGCCATGTAACATTTTTCTCTTTCTAATATCATGATTCTTGGTAACTTTCTTTTTTAAAAAGTTAATTTTCCTGAATTTACATATATAAATAATTCATTTGCAATTTTTGCTGGTCATTTTCTTTCATATTCCATCCACTTGGAGCATACAAAAATCCTGCTTTGCTCAATGAATTCTTAAATCTTACTTCTGTCTTTTTTTTATGAAAACTTTTTTTTTTTACTTGATGTTCCTCTTGTGTTGAAATCTTAGTTTTTAGTGAGGAAGTCAACTTTTCAAACTGTCTCAAAACAGATATCCTTCTGAAAATAGAATGTAAAATTCTCAGTTTGCATGTGGAACCCTGATAACCAGGTGCCAAACTTTCTCTAAAACACCCAGCACAAAAATGAATGGAGCAGTGCCTGCAGCTGCTCAGAGATACTGGCAGTGATTTTCATGCCTGGCCTACTGATTTGTATGTATGATTGCAGCAAAAGTATGCAAAGCTAAGGCACACATTTGCATTTGGAACCAAAGTATGCTTTTTCAGAAGTCTTTGCCTTGGCATTTTACTGCTTGATGTGTACACAGACATGTCATCTGAGCATATAAATACATATGAATTTAAAATGATGGGCATGCATTTGGAGGCTGAGCTGTTTCTCAATGCCTCAGCTGATTTCAGGGACATGAAAAGCAGAGAGCTAATTGCGCTCAGAAGTGTACAGAATGTCATGTGCCAGATAGTAAAAAGCTTAGGCAGCTTCCAGGCTACAGACTTAGCTTCTTCCCTGATTCCTTACTAACAAGCACACATTATCATGCAGGGATAACCTCTGCCTGACTCCACTGTGATCTGACATATTAGGCTCTGTGGCTGATGCCCATTTAAACTGCATACACTGTCATTAATGGTCTTCTATGTACATGTCCTTCAGAGAAGAACAAGGTGCCGTTGCCTATTAGCCACTGGGCTTGAGCTCTTCACTTTCTTTCTTCCCTCCTAGCAAATATTCTCTGCCATTTTATCTGCAGGATTGGTAGGAACATCTTTCAGACTTGGACAAGGCATTGAGTTCCCTGGAGTCCAAAAGAAGAGATAAGGGCATCCAGAGCTTTGGGAGGTGTCTCTTGGTGTGGGGACTCTCCTCTGGGTATGGCAGGGAAAAGTTGCTAATAGTAAGTAAATAAGAGAAATGTCGTAACGTTGTAGAGAAAAAAAACCCTCTGAAATCTTGTGCCAAAATATAGCAACATCTAAGTTTAAAAATTATTAGCAAATCGGAGCATTTAATCAGGTAAAAATTTTGTAATCTTTTTAATGCAGTCTCATAGCTACAGGACAAATTCAGTACTGAAAAGTCCAGTTCAGCTCCCTAGCTAATATGATTATAGAAATAATAAATGACATTTATTTGGTCCACTGTGCAATACTGTAACAGGATATTCCAGGAACAAACACTATGACTACAAGAGCACACAAAAAATTAAAATTAAGTCATCAGTTCTCAAATTAGATTGCTAAAGACCCCAACTGATTCACTCTGGCACTGATAAATGCTTTCCCTCTAGGATAGGCATATTTCTTACAGATGTTTGCTCAAAAACCTTAAAACAGGCAAACTGAAGTAGCCACCTTGAATTTGGCTGTTGAACAAAGACACAGCTAACTTTTCATCACTTGTATTTCAAATGTGCTATGCAGAAATTAGGACAGTTTGCAAGAAGCTTAAGATGGATTTTTTTGCCTCGAAAAAAGATGAGTCACATCACACATCTTAGAGCCTGATCTTTCAAGGGTGCTGAACATCCTTCATTTGCTGTGATATCTATGGATGCTTACCAGCTCTCAGTAGGTGTTCAGAGCATCAGAGAATTAGCCCATTGCTTTGCAGAGTCATGCAATATTAACTTATTTCAAAGGAGAAATGTTACTGAAATTTTATATCGTTTTAAAAAGAAATTGATGCACCAGAGACAGAAAAAATACAACAACAAAAGAAAAAAACACAAACAAAAAAAACAAACCCCCAAACAAACAAACAAACAACAACAACAAAAGCAGAACAAAACAAGAAAGATGCACAACTGGTAGGTGAAGTTTATAGAGATTAAAGAGTGCATAGAAAATAAAAGTCTTCTATGGAATCTTATTAACTACAAACATAGATCCTCATTCAGGAACATACTTACACATACTCTGAAACATGAAGTCAGTTCCACATTTTAACAGATACCAGTGCTTAGCAGAGTTAGGGCTACAGATACAGTATTGTCATTACTAAGCATTCACACATTAAGAGTATGAAATTATATGAGAAGAGATTCTTCTGTTTAAGGTGTTGGGGTTTTTTTCTTGTTCTCCTCAAAATTTAATTTTTCTTGCAAAATATTTCAAAATAAAAGTATACTCATTAAGATGTGTTACAGAAAGGTGAGAATGCTGAGTTTTAATATTTTTATGTAAATATGATTTTTCAATTTTATAATGTTAGTTTTATAACTGCACACATAGAAAGCTAATAAAAATATTTCCATTTTTTAAAATAATATTTTCATAATTTATTATATTGTAAACTACTCTTACTGATACATAATTTTAACATCAGTAATGTATGCCTTTTGAACAGAACAACATCAGCCATAGAAAATTAGATTTTTTTTGAAAAATAAGTTTAGGATTTATTTTTGTTTTGGAGCTTGCATTTTTACTGTAAGATATATTTTCACATTTTCTCTTTAATACAAGGACAAAATGAGACTAAAGCTTAGATTTCCATCCAAACTTGTATGTGCAGGAGCTTTAAAAAAACCCTCATCAAAACAATACAGCTATTGCCAAAAAACCCATACAATAATTTTCAGTGTAAGCAATTAAAATGCTCAAAATCGCACACACGTGCACGCAATGAAGTCAAGATGAAATATGCCAATGGCCAACAGTAACTTTTACAGCAGATAAGAATAAAAAGCTCATACTCTCGTTACCTGCCCTCATATTGCACAGATTGAAACAGAATCAGTGACAAAAAATCAGACCTACCTTCTGTATTGTTATGATTCCTTCCTGAGTGTCTTTGTCAACAGAAATTTTGAACACTCCCAAACCATCACCATCCACGATTTTATACTCCATTTCAGCATTAGGTCCCACATCTGCATCTGCAGCTTTTATTCTGGCCACCACAGAAGCTACTGGCAAAGACTCTGGGACATTATACTGATATGATCCTGTGAAATTTAAAAGTTTAATGAAATTGGAGTCTTCTGGGACTGTAGGCTAAAAAAATTCTAGCCGCCTTAAAATCTATCTTCCTTTAAATTATGCACTTGAATATTTGGTCAGGCTACCAGAACATATTCTTCAATTTAAAACAGAATTGCCCTTTTTTTGCTAGGTTTTCCTTGCAATGAACTCTACTATAAGTACTATTGGCATTTCTTCCTATTATCAGAGAAGTACAAAGGCAAAGACACAAAAACATAATTCAAAACTTAAGTGCAAATCATGAGGTGAATGCTTACTATGGAGTTCCAATGAAGAAAATACTTTACTTTTTTGTTTTCCACAAAGAGTAAAAAAAGTAAATCAAATAATATCAATATAAACTCTTATTCTTTTATAGCTGTGTATCATGATTAGGCGGTCTGCAATCTGAATATGACTAGAAACTGATATATATACATTTCTTCAACAGTAAGAGCACCATCTGTATTCTTGAAAATTCCAGCTTTCTCGTTCAAGTACAAAATGACATATATGCTGTCAAAAGGGTATCTGAGTGCAGTTGGTAGCCAATAACACCCTCACCTTCAAATATAACCTCAGTTATTCTATTAGTATTTCAAGCAGTTGGTAGCTTGAAATAACAGGAAAACTATTATGCACAAATCTATTTTTTATATCATTGGAAGTGAGGCTGGAGTGGATGTGAATATATTCTTCACATTATTCTAATTCTAGTTAGCAAGGACTTTTTTTAAGAAAAGCACCCCAGACAGTATGCTATTTAGAAACTGAGCTCCTGAACTCTTCAAGTTTGAGTGTATAACCATGCTCTCCTCTCTTGGTTAGGATCAGAGCCATCTTGGTCAAAGAAAGTAAATGGAGGAAAGATGACTTTCCAGCTCTTTTGTGATTAACTCCTTAGGAAACACTCTGTGCACAAAAAAAAATCCTGATAAAATGCCAAAGGCATATGAAGGATTAAGAGTAGAGTTAAAGAATTATGCATCCTGAAGTCCAGCTGGCAAGAGCTAAATATATATTAAGGTGTACTTTTTTTCACTTTTTATTCAGAGTGAGGGAGTAAAATACATTAATAAATGCACCTGCTGTACATTACTTCATTTCAACTGATCTGAAACATATTAGGTAAAGAAAAAATATTATTCTAATGTAATAATAGTAATAATCATAGCAATAATCATAGCAATAATAATAGAAATAATAATAATAACAATAATAATAATATATTGCTGATGGTGATTCTCAATGTACTTAACATAGAAGCTGAGTCCTTCTACTCTTTGTTAGAAATAGCATAATGTGCAAAGAAAATAACAGTGTTTAGAAATATTATTACAAGTCATATTTTTACAAAGTAGCTTACGTCGTGGAAAGCGGGGTGGGTTGTCATTAACATCAGTCAGGGTGACAGTTACTGATGTAGTCCCTGATAATCCACCGTTCTGCCCAACCATATCCTTTGCTTGAATAACTAGTAGATATTGGTCCTTGGCTTCTCTATCCATATTTGGAAGGGCAGTCTTGATAACACCTGCAGAAGACAAGGTAAAGTCAATTGTTGCACAAGAAGATATGTCACTGTGAATGCTGAGTTTGCCTTTAAAAGGTAGCAGCAGATCAATGACTTCAACAAGAAAGCAAAGAATTAATGTCAACACTAATACCACAGTTTTTGTCTAGGAGCTGAACTGATGAACTACAAGCTTATTTTAAGTAGTCACCAAAACCCACCAATCTTTATTTAGTACTAGATTCTTTGGGTCATGGCATCCACGACTGTTTTTCTCCAAATATAATCTCCCTGAACTGTAGACTTCATAATGTCCTGGGTAACTCCCTTCCCTGGAGGATATAATCTTCTGCGTTCGATTTTTCATTCTTTTAGAGCTAGAAAGAACAGAATATTCTGCATCCATTCTTAAGATTCCAAGGTCAAGATTCATTTCACAATGTCTTGAAAAGTCATTCATCACATTAACTCTTACTAATATTGATATCATACCACACTCCTCATACATATGAAATTATCTTATTTTATCATATATTTGCTTTAACACTACCCACTTCTAAAGCATTAGTATAATTAATATATTTTTGATTTATTAATGGAAATACTGTAATATTTGAAATAGTTTTCATTATATCCATTTGATGATCTGCATACAATTTGTAATTAATTGATGTGAAATGAAAACCAGAAGAAAGCTCCATGTTTCATCTGTTGATATAGATCAAAAAATAAATATGCCTTGTCAGAACGTGATGACTTTATGAATATTTCATGCTCAGTACACAGTACAGCCGCTAACTCTGATTTCCAGAGAGGCAGCCGTTTACTCCACCAGCACTTAGTGTCAGCAGCAAAGGAAACATAAACAAACTAAATAAAAGAGAGGCACATTGGGACACATATCTCTTCATCTGATATTTGTTGAATGTTTAGCTAGAGTTTTATTTCTTTCTCTTCCCTTATGAATGCAGGACTTGCCATTAATCGTCTCTGAGTTGAAACATTTATTTCACAAACAGACTGTCTCGCACTAATTCATCCATTTTACAAGACATGTTAAAATACAATTAATATACAATTTCACGTTATTTTTTCTACATCGCTTCTTCTGGCCTGCTTGTTTTTCTACCATAGTTAAATTGCCAGGCAACGTTAACCAATCATTTGGAAGATAATTATCATGCACACAGGAAACTTGAGTATCACATCAAAGTGAAACTGTATGCAAACATTTCAGTCTGAGTCCTTAAAGATTTTGATTTAGCAGAAACTACCATATTATTGTTCAAGGCCTGTCTGCTGTAGTTATGGCAATACATATTGTATATACATATACATGGGGAGAGAGAGAGAGAGAGAAAACCACTATAAATCATACTCACTGGGGAGGGGGAAGAAAGTGCTATATATCTCTGCTGAGGAAGGACCTATTGCAATATGAAGATGATTCTACTATTAATTTCTGCAAATTTAGATGTTGTTAGAGTGTGACCTTTTGGTCATAGCATTGGGATTCAGGTCTGATTCACATCATGGATTGTTAATGATAAAAAGGGTAAACAGTTTGTTTCTCTTTTGTCTCAACTTGTCCATCTTTGAAATGAAGATTATAACTGTTCATGTTGGTGTAAGTGAAGGCTCAGGCACCAAACAAAACTGAACAGGGTGAGAACTTATTTTCCTACTCTGTGAAATGATACAGTAGAATAGGTAATGTTTATTAAAACAGCAGAGGATTGAAGGTTGCATGTTCTTGTGGCTTAAAATATCCACAAAATTTCATGAAAATAGTAAAAAAAAAGTTCCACTAGTAATTTGTTTTGAACATGGCAGCAAAATGTTATTTCAGATAAGAAGCACGGTGCTTTCTTCTTCAAATTAATAAAGATATGTTTCCCACAACAAAACTTCACTTTAAAATGTAGAATGGAAAGATGATCATGCTACACTTAAGGAAAATCTGGCTATGTGACATGAGTTATTTCTAAAGCAAGCATTTGCAAAAAAAAATGTTCACAGTATCTTGAAATTTCAATTGATCAGAAAGATGGCAACAGGCAGCAGACCAGGGAGCTGGTAGATTGACAAGAAAATAAAAAATCCCATTCCAGCAATGTCTGCTTATCAAATAGCTCAGATGTGTGGTTTTCATAATGTATTCTAAAGAATAAGAGATTAAAAGATAAAAAAAATCCGTATGTATTCAGTTAAACACAAGACCACATTAATAACTTCCTAGGAAGTTTTAATGTACATTTTCTTTCTACATTACTACAGATAGTTTATGGAAAGTTACCTGTTTTTGGTTCCACAGAAAAGTAAGGTTGTCCTTGCAATATGCTGTAAACCACTCGAGCGCTGTTGCCGTAAGTAGGATCATCTGCATCAGTGGCTGTCACTTGAACCACAGAGGTACCTGGAAAATATTTAAGGGATTATTGTACACAAAAGATCCAAAATTTGAACTACACTTATTCACAAGCTGTGCTAATATATATCTGGAAATAATCAGACTTTTCACAACTGTTCATCATTTTCATGCTGATTCAGCTTGGAATATAAGGTCCTCTTTGTAAACCAGTAGTGGATATCACAAAGTTCCATCTTCCCAAATAGTCTCAGCCTTTGACTCAGAGCAATAAAAAACATCTCATTCAGTAGCTCCCCCTCTCTATCTCTGCTTTTGATTGGTGGAGGGTATGTGAACAATATTTCTTAAATGATGGTGGTGACTGAATTATGCTTAAGTATGAAATACAGTAACAGTTTCCCTTTGAATAGAAGTCTGCATGCTAAAATTGTAACAAGTGCTTAAAGATTAAAATATAAATACAGATATAAGTATTTTAAGTTTTTATAATTATACACTTATATTAAAATTAATTTTAGCCTATGAAGTTATTTACCCTTTTATAAAGTGATGGTGAAGAGTTTCTTTTTAAGGTCAGGGAAAAACTGGTGAGAGCTGACTCTAAATTCCTTTAAAAAGTATTAATTTTCTTCAACAATCTGCAGTACTTGAAGTTGTGGTAATAATCTGCTTCATGAACATTTTGTGAGCAAGAAATGTCTCTGTGTAACAGGAATAAGAAAGCAAGATGTCTAACTGGCTAGTAAGAAGGGTATATTTTGTGAAGATCTCATTCGGCATCCAGCTCCTATTCATTATGTTCTCCACATCTGTTCCCATTTGTTTTGTTCTGTACAACAGCTTCCATGATGTATGGTGAGAGCAGAATAAAACAACACTTTGGAGCCAGGACCTTGGCCATGGTCACCACCCTTTGATAGCCAGAAAGGATTATTTTTTCTCACTAGCAGATTGTCTGGAACATTGAGAACTTCCATTCAACAGCCCGGGGACCCGTTTGGAGGTCAGATTGCAAATTAATGTTGTAGCAATTTGGCAAATGCCCAGTAAAGGTCTTCTGCAGAGGATCAGATTCTTTCATAAACTGGATTTAGACACAAGATTAGGGAACATAATTCGTTAAAGAGAGAGTTCATTTTCCAAATGAACACATTTTTGACATGTGAAAATGAGAGCAGCAAGTCTAGAAATCACTCTTTAGGAACAAATTGCAATAGCAGAATGAACTTAATATTTAAGTTGTATTCTGGCCAGTTTTATTTGGATTTTATCAGGAAATGGATAGAAGAAAGTTCTTAAAATCTTCGTATCTGATATATTATATATCCTATCCATTTTCCTCAGCTTTTTAATTTTGAGTTAAGTAGAGGATCACAAATGAGTCTTGGGACCAGGATGAAGGCTTGGAAGGAGAGAAGATTAAGTGTAGCTCTCCATAAAAAGGTACAGATTAGAAAGGATGGGACCTACTTGAATGAAATCTGACCAGAAATGATCATTCATAAGATAACTTTATTCACTTAAGTTATGACCTAGCTAACCCACATTCCTGATCTCTCTTCCTGAAGTATCCATGACAAAGTATTATGATTGCAATTCTATTTTAAATGCAATTTTTCTCTCTTGTGGACTGTCTAATATTTTTGGACAGGGAAAATCTCAATCTGAAATTTCACATGCAACTATTAAGTAAATGGAAACTTTAAAAGAAAATTGGTAGTTAATCCGTCAAGTCATTTATCAGTTATAGGTCTTAAAATACATCAATTTTCTGTTCACCAGTAACTAAGAGCTTTGATTCAGTATGTCAAACTGATTTTACAGATTACTCTATAATGTAATTTCATACAGGGACCTATTTTAAACTTGCCAGAGTCTCTCCAGCTTTTGAGTACAAGGGTATCATAATGACTATTTGACATCCTATGTCCTTAGTGAAAGCCAGGCTTAGCACATTTACAAAGTCCCTAAGCCCTGCCAATGAAGCTTTCAATGTCTGCAAATATTGGCAATAGTGCTTATAAACCTCACAGACAGTTACGTCTTTGGTCCTTGCCCTTGCTGCTTTCAAGGACTTCAGATGGATACAAGATCAAAGAAATTATAGGCTCTGCAATCTCAACAAAGACATTTTGGAAATCTTGCAAGCTTATAAGTGTTTGTTTGCTGTAAAAATCTATTGGTGCAGCAAACAAACTCCCTACATTCTGTGAGATTAATAAAGTCAGAATCTGATTATAACTGGCTCTCTCCTAAAACACAAAGATCCTTTAGAAAACTTTTTAGGTGGAAATCCTAACACCAAATCTTTCTGCAATCATCCCACTTGAGTGTAATCAGCAACTAAAACACAATGGTACTTTTCTAATCCCTTTGTGCTAATCGACTTCTCTGACAACTCATGGGGGAAAGATATTTTAAAACAACTGCTGCTGTATTTATTTCTTTACCAGCTGCACACAAAAACTTTGTGCTTCCAGAAGTCCCATGCCAAGAGGGAGATTTCTGCACAATATATATTTTAAAAAGAATATGCAAGCTAACATAAGGTATGATAACTACGTGAAAAGACCTACGTGTAGGAAATCAGTTCCAAGGAAATATAATGCACAGAAAGATCTGTATTTGAAGATTTCAAGAGATTTTCTCAGAAGATTTATCTTGAAGAATGGGAATTCCTTCAGAGGATGATAATTGCAACACAAAGCTGTCCTATTTTTTCTTGCAATGGATTGATGTCAAATTCATGTGCTTATTTTCTCTTAAAAAGTAAGTAATCGGTAAAGCTCTATGGATACTCATAGATCATAAACAAATCTATAGGTTGAGGAAAAATGGGTAGTTGCATCGTAGTTCCAACTTCAACATCTTACAAAGGGAGAGTTTGTGTTCCTGCACTAAAATTAGGTCTTCCTTTTACTCCTTAACGCTTTCCCCTACCTCATAACACAGGTATTGTTATATATATCAGCTGTCATACATGCATCCAAGATTAGGACTTACAGGTAACATTTGACAGTCAACAAACGGCACCACACCTTCACTCCATCCAACAAAATAAGCATCCTAGTAAATCTTGTTAATGGCAGAACTGGTCGAACACCTGGACTGCAGGTATAATCAGGACACTAGCCCTACCCCAGACTTTCATAAATGATTACTTATAACCTATAGAATCACAACTACAACTTTAAATATTTCTTACACTTTGTGTATCTGATATGAGTTACAGCAATATTTCCAACATGTTGCAGAGATCAACCTTTTCTGTGATAGGGTCAAATAAAGGTAAATTGGTTGCTGAAGCTTAGTATGAGTTGGAGATTCTTCAAAGGGATCCTTTTTCAATCTCATGTTTATTGTTTCAGAAACCTCTGTACAGAGCTTTTTAAAAAGCTTGCTAGTAACTTGTGTGGTATTTTAACAAAGTTTTAAAATGAGTTTGTAGGAGAAAGTCTTGTGTGACTTCTGTTTTTAACATTGATGAAATAATTTAAGAGAAAAATGATTTTTAAAACAAGATTATCTTAAATGCTTAGTTTTTAAATGTCTAATATGTGTAATACACAAAACAATTCAATGATGACATCACATTTCTATGTGATATCAGCTGCTACTAGAAATAATAAAAACCTTTACTATCAAGTTATCTATAATACCTGCTTAATCTATACATGCAACAGCTCAGTCTGGTTCTGCTCTGTACCATCTCGTACTTCTGTGCTTCTGCCACGGGCCCTCACCCAGAGCTGCTGCAGCAATGTCTTCACATCCTTGCACCTCCAGGAATGTGATGGGGGAGAGAGAGCACCTGGAGGAAGGTTCTACCCTCTTCATCTTTCCCCTCCAACAACCTCATTACGTTAGCTTCACTTGGGCACAAAGTCCAAGATTGGTCTTAGCCAAGCAGCAAGGTTAGATAAAGTGAAGCAGAGGGGACTGGTGATTGTAGGGAGACATGCTCCATTCAGTCTCTCAAAACCCACTTACTCACTTGTACCAAAGATAATGATATAAAACTTTTTTTTTCCTTTTTTTTTCCTTTGGTATAAAAATCAAATGTATTTGTCCACCTCTATCTGAAAGAAGTCCAAAGACTGGAAGAAGGCTAATGCCACCCTATATACAAGAAGGGTTCCAAGGAGGATCCAGGTAGTTATAGGCCCATTAGCCTCACATCGATCTCTGGGAAGATTATGTAGCAAATCTTCCAGAGTAGCATCACCAGTAAACTGGGACATCTGATTGGGAAAAGCCAACATGGATTCACCAGAGGCAGATCATGCCTAACAAACCTGATCACTTTCTATGATGGAGTGACCTGCTCAGTTGATATGGGGCAAGCGGTGGATGTTGTCTACTTGGACTTCTCTAAGGCTTTTGACATGGTACCCCACAGCCTCTTCTTTTAAAAACTGACAAACTGCAACCTAGATAAGTGGTCTGTGTGCTGGGTGGGGAACTGGCTGATGGACCATTCCCAGAGGGTGGTAGTAAATGGCTCTTTCTCTAACTGGCAACCAGTCACAAGTGGGGTCCCTCAGGGATCAATATTGGGTCTAATGCTATTTAATATCTTCATTAGTGACCTGGATGTTGGAACCAGAAGCTCCCTGATGAAGTTTGCTTATGACACCAAAATGAGTGGGATAGTTGACACTCCAGAAGGGAGAGCCACCCTCCAGGAAGACCTGGACAGACTGGACGAGTGGACTAGCAGGAACTGTGTGAAATTCAACATGGGCAAATGTAAGGTCTTGCATCTGGGAATACATAATCCAGGAATGCATCTGAGACTGGGTTCCACCTGGCTAGAGAGCAGCCCTGTGGAAAGGGACCTGGGGGTCTTGGTGGATGACAAGCTCAACATGAGTGAACAGTGTGTTGCAGCTGTAAAGAAAGCCAACAGAATGCTGGGCTGATTTTAAAAGGGCATCACCAGCAGAGATAAAGAAGTCATTATTCCTCTCTGCTCAGACCACACCTTGAGTACTGTGTCCAATTTTGGTTCCCACTATACAAAAAAGATGTGGACAGGTTGGAAAGGCTATAGAGAAGGGCCATGAGGATGACTAGAGGACTGGAAGACCTGCCGTATGAAGAAAGGCTGAGAAAACTGGGCCTGTTCAGCCTTGAGAAGAAAAGGCTCAGGGGAGACCTTATTACCATGTACCAGCACCTAAAGGGTGGCTACCAAGAAGATGGAGACTCCCTTTTCATGAGGAGTCACATGGAAAAGACAAGGTGTAATGGAGACACGTTGTTTCTGGGGAGATTCCAATTGAACTCCAGAAGAAACTTTTTTTACCATGAGATCAATTAGACGTTGGTAAATTCTCCTACATTGGTCAGTTTTAAGAGGCAGCTTGGCAGGGTGCTGACTCATCTCATTTAAACTATACTTTTACCTTGAGAGATTGGACTAGATGATCCTTGTGGTTCCTTCCAATCAGGTATTCTATTATTCTATGAAATAAACATGGCAATAAATATATTTGCTGTGCTTGGTAACAAGCAATGGTGTTGATATGCCTGAAGAGTAGAGAAGACGAAACAAACCCAAAATGAAATTGTGTATTGGAATTTTTATCCCCCGTTCCCTTGGCTGTAAGCCAAATAAGTCAGTATCTTACATCAGCTATTTTTTTGGTCAACATCACAAAAACACTCTTTTAATACTCTTTTAGCTACAATTTGTAATCTTCTTATTAGAAATGTAACACTGCTAGATCTTTTAGGCAAGAGACATACTTAAAAATAGCCCTATGATTTTCAGATACACCATATCTTTGAGGTTTTTGCTATGAATAAATTTACAAGCCATCAAGATATTTACCCTATCCAGGATAATCAATATAATTGGGCATGACCCAAATACAGTTTGAACCTGACCTGAAGTAATTTCAAATAACAGAAAAGATTGACTTCAATTAGTCTTAGATAAAGTCCTAAAATATTTGTCAAATAAAATACAGGAATATTATACTTGCATTACTATCAGGTTAAATGTTATAGTTCTCATAGCTTTATAGTTAATAGTCCTGTGATCTCTTTCATTTTATTTAACACCCAATTAAAAATCCCTGTCATGGATATAATTTTAAACAAAATGGGAAAGATATTTTGTTTCTCCTTAATATTTAATGAATGCTCTAGGTGATTAATTAAAAATTGTGTTATATGAATAAACTATAAATCAATGTGACTATGTAAGACAAGTGCCACGCAGGCATCTCATGGTAATCCTTAATTCAGTAACAACATAGTATTTGGTAGCTGTGCAACACAAACCATGAAGATGTTTATTATGTAGTTTCAGGAAGCTCATGAAGATGAAACTGTCCATAGTCAAAACAAATGTCAGAGAGCGCACAAGTCTCAGTAATTTTGCACAATATGTCACCTAAGTTGAATATACATTTGGTGTTGCGGTCTGCATGAGTGAAAATTTATTTCAGTCATTTATGTGGTAAAGATTCAACAAAATATGCAAAAGCTGCTCACTGTGAGAAATAGTCCTTATGTTCTCCACTGCACACTCTGCACTCCCCCCAGATTGATTGCTAATATATTTTTGGAACAAATGGAGCATGAGTGAGGGGTAGAAGCATGGATTTGTGTGTGTAGGTAAATCCTTATGTATCTGTAGTAGTTGTCCAGATGTCAATATACCAGTAAAGGACAATACAGAGGTAACTCATGCAAAAGGAAAATGCATGTGCTCTTCAGGGTACAAGACAAAGGTACAAAAATCTAAACATTGCTGCATGCTACAGCTCACTTAAATAATATAATTGTAATATAAAAGAGCATTTTTAAAATAATATATATATTATTTACAGAAAATACTTTTGAAGTGCTTAATATTTAGGTTTTACAGTCTTAGATTATCTGATTATCTGTTTTTCCAAAGTGCAGCAGTAAAAAGTTCTCAGCAATGTATCACAACTTCATCTCCTCCCTGATACTCCTCAAAAGCTGTGGTGCCCATCTTTCTTTAAAAAGGCTACTATTGCTTCTTCAGCCATCCACGTAGTGTACAGATGACAATGAAGTGTCAAATATCAAATGAGAAATAGTGTCTATGTGCACTGCTTAGTAAAATAAATAAATGGAAAACTCATTAGCAATGCTTTACTTATCCCCTATTGGCTCCTAAGCTGAGTTTCAAATACAAAAGCAATGTTGGCAAACGATTGCTGCAGAGCACTTAGGCAAGGAAGATTCTTTTTTTCTCTCTAGCTCTAATTTAGAGGCATTATTTAACATTGAAAAACACAGGAGATGGTTATAGCAAATTCTATATGGGCAGTCTTACTGTAAGAGTATAAATTCTGATATGGTTTAAAATCACTGACGCAAATAAAATCCTAATTCCAACTACCATCTAACTCTCTTCACCTGAAGTGAGACTTCCCATACATGCATTTCCACTGACGTAGATTAAGTTTTTCTGTTTTTTTTTTTTAGCTTCATGCTTGGATTTATATTTTCAGGTAAACGTAAAATTTACCAAAATGTTTTCAGGCCAAACTCCTATCTGGTCTGAATCAGCCAGCTTTCAAAAAAACTATGGCACCTGACACCAGATGAGCATTTGATCTCTTTAAAATGAAGAGATAGTGGATAGTGCTGAAATTCTTCCCAGCAGTCAAACTTCGGAAAAATTAGCTTTTCCTTTTTTCCAACAGCTTGTCTGAAGCCTCTAAAAGCCATTCTTCTCTGATTTCACTGGCATTTTGAAACTATTCTAAGTTGTACTCCATTCCCTGATGGCTTGCATGTATTTCCCAGAGAGCTGGATTTCAGTATTAGAAAAGATATACAGTAAACTGTTACTGATATATGCAACACTTATCATAAAAATTATGCTATGTACTAGCAGGAATCTGAAGATTTTGCTAAGGATGGACTTTATCTGAATAAAATGATACATTATCATCTCTGAGTACCATAGAATAGATGTGAAACTTATTATTGTTAATGAGAATTATAAAATAAAGCCTCTGGACACTGGAATCAGAAATACACCATAAAATGCTTATCTGAATCCGTACATAGCTATTTTGAGTTTCACAACATTTTTGAAAGGGTAAATACTTAATCTAGCATGTTATTTCCACTCAAGTCTTGAAGTATCTTACTATTGCAGGTGCCTCATAGATAATTAAGTAGCTTAGTGTGACACAGTAAAAAATAATGAAATTTTTAAAAAGGCAATAGGAACAAATTTCCCACAATACCAACAGTGTATTTTGCACTTACCCACAGGAGACATCTCGGGAACTCCAGCAGTGTAAGGACCATCCAGAAACTTTGGCTCATTGTCATTGATGTCCTGAATCTTAATGACGAACTCAGATTCTGGCTCCACAGGTTTATTAGTCAGCCTATCTAGTGCTTGTGCTCGGAGAGTGTAGTAGGCCTGCTCTTCTCGATCCAGCCTTTTTGTAGCATGAATATCCCCCGTGTTCTCATCAATAATGAAAATGGAACTTGCCCCTTCGCCTGACAAGATGTATTTGATGGAACCATCTCCTTTATCAACATCAGAGTGAAGCTGGTGAAAAATTGATGAGATACGAGATTAACTTACAAGAGAGTCAGTGGCATGGAGATATGTAAAAATAATCCTTATGTTGAGCAGCAGTACATGAAATTTTATTGTTCTTTGAAAGATAAGCTGAATGTTTATCATGCAGAGCATATGGGGGACCATTAGAATCTCTCAGCTTGCTCTTTTGAGCAATGTAATTTCATTCTATCCTGCAAACATTCTCAATTACAAATGCATTTGATATTGTCTTACAGTCTTATCATACCAGAATTTTACATTGCCACACACACATACACACATGCGCACATATGATTACAACCATAACTTTATTTCTAATTGAATTTAACTACATTGTTGGTTTCAGCTTATAATCCTACTGAAGGGTGAGACTTCAACCAAATAACACTGTAAACTTAATGTCATTTTGTGCTTGCTCCAGTGCAGGTATGGGAAATGGCATACTGATGTCCTCATTGTCTACTGTGCAGAGCAGTAAAATATATCAAATGAAGTCAAATGGATTAGCTGATAGATGGCTCACTACTATCTGATGGGCTGGTAACTTCACTTCCGTATCTTGTCTTCCAATATCTAACTTAAGAAAAACGCTGAATCTGAGAAAGACCAAGAATTGTCCTGGCACCGTCTGAGCTACATAGCATCCAAAGTCAGGTGTAGTTTCCCTAGGACTACTTGTAGCAGGCACCAGAAAAAGGTACCTCAGTAGGTCAAAATGTATCCTCCATTAGAATTGAAATACAAGTTTACAGAAAGAAACTTCCTTCCTCATTATGCAACCTATTTTAAGTTACAGAGCAAGATTCCACAGGTTTTGTAGCTCTTTAATGTTCATTTAATCTCACCTTCCTGTTGGAGAACACAAACTTCAACAATTCTTATGTACTTTTCAAACTCATAGAAGCAATGTAATTGACCTGAATATCACATTAAAGTAACACACACACATGATGTGTTTAATATGCTACAAGTGAAAAGAACATCAGCAAAATTCAAAGTACTTGCTGTCTTGTTAAAAAGTGGATTATTACTTGTTGAGGACAATGAACTGAGGACAGTGTTAAAGATGTTCAGATTCTTTATGTCTCTTACCTACTTTGTACCTGTCCTAACTCCATGCAATGTTAAGTTTGGAGGTAACTTTGCTGTCATCACCATAATTTCCTCCACCAACATATATTTTTCTCTCAGCTGAGAGTATCACTGAGATAGAAATCACTTCCAGAGAACATGCAGAAAATTGCTATCTCAGGCATAACTTAGCACAGCTGCAAAACCTTTTCCTATTTCAGCAGGGAAGTATTCGTGATCAGTTTTGAATTCTTCAGCTGGATAAAAAGCTGTCTATTTCTTACACATTATTTCACTTACACTGTCTGGATATCTCATACTTATGCAATAACAGTGCACTACCTCCCTCTTTTATGACAGAAATGGAGTCCGAGCTTTGGATTGGATCAAAAACAGAAGTAGGGTGTCTAAATTAGATTATCTACATTATATCAAAATGTAGCTTATCCTCATTCTGCTGCTACCTAACTCCTGAGATACCTAAACAAGCTTGAGGTTTCTTTGGTGGATTTCTCCAAACATTTAAAGTCCTGCTTCTCAGGACACTCGGGAACAGTCAATGCTGGCGCTGTGAGCAGATCAAGGTAAAAATGTATCTCACATCCAGGCTCTTTCAAGATGTGCAGCACTGCATATTGCTCATCCCTAATAGCTGTGGGTTTAATCAATAAATCATACCTCTGTTCACCTCACAAATCTGGCAGCTGGGGCTCTTATGCTTTTTAAACTTGATTGGAAGAAGTACCCATCTTCCCTACAAAGCTACAGTGGCCTGTGAAAGTAAGAACCTGTCTGGCTTGTGTTTGATTTTGGTCTTCTTTTTTTTTTTTCCTTTACTAAGAACTACTTCAGGTTGTGTAATTCTCCTGTGTGCCACAGAGGCATTGTCTGGGTACCCCTACATAGCCCCAGTCCTACAGTCTAGACTAAAATGCTGAGCACCACATTATCCAATAACTGGGATACAAAGATTCAATGCCTTCATATTCTTGAAGTGATTCAGTTTTTTCCATATGTCATATTCTAGCAGAGCACTGGTCTTTTTGTGGTTGCTGAATCTCCCATTCTCCCTGTAAAAGTTATTCCACCTTTTGTGGTATACTTAAGGATGTGCTGGAAGAGAGAAAAGCAGATGACACCAGCATACCCAGCAGTTTATCAGGCAAAGCAGTTTTCTGAAGGTGAGAGATGTGCAAGTAGACCTCTTCAGGCAGAGAAGGGAAAGGATTCCATGTCTCAACTTGCTCAGAGCAACATAACACTTCACCCGAGCACATCAGCACACCTGGGTTTCATGCTGCAGGACTGCACAGCCTTCCTTTCACCTTGTATTTAGTTTCAGCTCTACCCTGAATAACTTTCTAGCAGTGTTTTGAAAGAAAAGAGACCTTCAGGGGAGAGACCAGAAGAGTAAATCCTTAAAGATGCACTGAGTAAGGCTTTCACATCCCAGAGAAAGAAGAAATTCTGCAAGCTCAGCATTTGCAATTTGCTCACTCAGTGGTTCACTGATTAACACCTTGTTTTTTAAGGAGTCCCACTCTGAGGTCCATAAATCTCCTCAAGAATTACACAGTACTGGCTGGTGCCCTGGAGTGAAATGATGAACAGAAGCCACTTACTGGAACGATGCCTTGGTAGGAAACTACAACCGCACGGATTAGTGAAGTAATTAGCAATGACCTTTGTTACTCCAAGGCTGAGGCTCTAGGAGAGCAAATTTATTTGTAACCTTTGTTAAACCTTTGTTAAACTGAACCTTTACAAAACAATACTGACTCATGCTCAAGTTAGTAAAGCACCATTCTCTACCCACTTAACCCTATGAAGGTGATATAGCTCAAAATTTAGTTTATCTTTGGAACTATAGTACAATCAGTTCTCTGTAAAGCATTTTAAAAAATATTATTCAACATTTTAATGCGTATTTTAGTGTCAATCGGAGATAACTGAATAGTACAATACAAAAGAATGCAAAAATAAACTAGCCTAACAGAATCCAGATGTGTATGGTTCAGTTTTAGATCAGCTTTATTCCAGTTCCCTCCAGTATAATCCTTCCAGTGATCTTCAAAGTCATTATTGTAGAGTCATCAGTGTTTCACAACTAGGAATAAAATCTTTGAATGCAGCAGTCCTGTACCATATTTTCAGCTCTGCTATCACCAAATAGGACTTCAAACTAAGGCTTTACAAGTAGAGAGGATCAAGGCAAAGACAGTTGCAAATTCTTGTTTCAAGAGACATGGATGATTCAAATATTCATTGGGTAAATCTCATTTGATACCATTCTGGAACATCCCAAATTTTCTTTCAGAATTAGTTTGCAATAAATATTGTAAATAATATATTTTCTTGTCCTTGTGACCCTCACAAGCTCTCGTGTCAGAAGATGGAAATCTAGGCCATAGTGTAGGGAAATCAGCTTATTTCTTTCCTCTGTTTTCTGAAAGGGGAATGGTACAGGGAAAGATGGTTGCATACTTCCAATTCATTTATTCCATTGTCACCTCCATGCAATATCCATGATGGTCACTCTCCAGTTTGCCTTGGCTTTCAAGAAACTTTATTTCCAATATGAGATTCATGATCCAATTATTACATGCTGATCCTATTGCTTCTTTGGTACATTCTAGATGCATTTAACCTGAAGATTATAAGTGCTTTGGCATTGAGTGTTCCCTGCGTTACATCATGTACAAGAAAGAGAACATGAAAACAGAAAAGGGAAGTAGCAACCTTCTGCAGAGAGATAATGCACTTTAACAGAAATGCACTTTTTTTTAGAAGAAAATTTACTGAGTGACCTCTACTTGTCTCTGAAATCAAGCTAAAAAGAGGGTACTCCTATCTTCTTAGGCCCAACTCCTAAAACTCCTCTCAATTTTAGAAAATGCTTATTCAAAGATATATGAGAGAATGAAGCAGTCAGCTTCCCTCAGTAGCAAAGGCACTATTACCCTAACACCTTCAATGAATGCCATTTAGTCCTCACATAATTTTTTTTGGCCATGCAGCAATAAATGCTTAGTATAGGGTCTCAGTCAATGCGTTTTCACCTGCTTGGAGTCTTTGGATCCTGATTATTCTAGGCGACACCTGAATAATACATTTCCTTCAAGATCCTTAACACTAAATAGTTCTGGATTTTGTCTATTTGTAGGTACAGGTCCGTATGACCAAAGATGATGTCATTTTGCATCAGCTGCCATTAAAGTATGCTAATGCAGTATTGCCAGTAGAGAAGAACATTTATTTTTAACAGTAAGCAGAGGTATTGCACTGTATTTAAAGCAATCTATTTGGCCACCACTGATCTGTTTGAGGTCTGAATGAGAGGTTTGCTATTTCTCTGATTTTCAGTTCAGGATTCCTTAAAGCAGGTGCAATGCCCTTATGCATCTCTTCTCCTTTCTTCCTCCCCAAAGATCATTCTTTGCAGCTGTTCTTCCCTGTGGCTGTATGGCTTACATTTCATTGCAGAGTCTACAGATTCTTGGGGAAGGAGAAAAGCACAGGGAGAACATGAAGATCTGCCAGGTTTTCAGCACAAGCAGGATAGAGAAGTAATGGTGAGAGATAGACAGAGAAAACATGAGATGCTTCACACCTCCTAGCTCCTATAGCTCCCTGAAACCACAAGAAATGTGCACTTGTTTGCAGAACAACTGAAAACTCCTCTCCGGCAGGAGTTACCTTGCCTGCACCCTTTCCTTTCTCGCTGTTAAAGTAACTAGAAATGTAGGAGAGGAATGAAAACTGCCGCCTCATGGCTCATAGGCATCCGTGGTTCTTCGTGATATAGAACTGACGCAACTGAAGCTTTACTCCTGCCTTCTGACTAAAAGCAATGAGGGATTGGAAAGCTAAAAAGGACAAAAGGAAGAAGGAACTCCAAGCCAGGAGCAATCTTC